GCCGACTGATTCTACTTCATATTAATCACGGTATACCGGTCGCCGTTATAATTCATGTCGGTACCGGTAAACTGGCCGGTATATCGGTCGGCGCTATACTTCATACCGGTACCGGACCGGCGCCGGTTGCACCTCTGGTTTCAAGTATTCAGCCATTGTCATTCACCAGTTCTTCGGAAAACTGGATTTTTCATTGTGGCCCATTACTGAACTGAACTGAAATTTATTTCATCAAACACATGAAACCCAGAAGAAAAGTTAAGATAAAACGCATGGCTGAAGGGAAAGTAGTAAAAGCCAAGAACTTATAATTATAAGGCTACCACCATTTTATTGAGAAGAAAAAAGAAAGAAAATTGAAAGAAAAACAAAAAAAAAGCAAACAAATCATCATATGTTGAGCCTAACAAAGAAAACAGTTCTAGGTCTATGACATGAAAATAAACAGACAACTGTAATATTTTTACGTGTTCAAAAATGATCTTAGTAATCTTTTAAATTGATTTACTGTATGACAAGAGACTACCTCCTCCGGTAAACTGTTCCACTCTATTGCAGTCCTGAAAAAACATGAAGACGCAACTTGGGCCTTCGTCGCAGTAATAGTTGTTACTTGTTGCGAATTTTGTCTATCCGAATTTAACCGATCTGATCTACGATTTACTATAGGTTCAATCAGTTTAGTTTGAAAACTAGAAGGTGGTGATAAATCATTTTTAATTTTATAGAAATGCAGAAGCCGAAAGTATTTCCTTCTCAAAGATAAATCGAGAAGTTTCAATTTTTCGATTAACTCCGTAACTGAACCGTCAAACTTTTTACATATTAATCGCGCTGCTAACTTTGAAACCTTATCAAGACTTGAACTAAACCAATCACTATCATATATTACAGAACAGTAATCTAATTTACTAAGAATGCATGCCTTATAAATTTTTAATCGAATACACCTTGAAGCATCTTTAAATGTACGATAAAGAACACCTAAACGACGTCTGCATGCAAGAACTACATCGTTCACGTGTGCTCCCCAACTTAGATTATGCGAAAGTTTCAAACCAAGAAGAACGACAGACTCTTCGCGTTTCATTACTGTAGAATTAATAGAAAAAGAAAGATGATTGGCAACAGACGGAGATCGATTAGTAAAATACATCCAGCTACAATAATTTAACGACATTAGATTCAACGAACACCATTCTTCAATTTTGTCGATGAAATCTTGACACTCTAAGTTTGTACATAAAGCAGTGAAAGGACAGAGTAAAGAACAACCATCAGCAAATAGAAGATATAGAGCTGGTGTAGATGTAACAGATGGTAAATCGTTCACAAAAATTAAAAATAACAAAGGTCCGAGTATCGAACCTTGCGGGACGCCGGACGGTACATTGATTAGATTTGAATAAGAAGAGCCAATCTTTACTCTCTGTTTTCTTTCCGTTAGGTAACTCTCGAACCATCTGTACTCATCTTCTTTTATTTCCAGCGCAGAAAGTTTACTCAAAAGTATCTAAAAAGGAACTCTGTCGAACGCTTTCTCAAAATCAAATAGAACTAAAACCGAATCTATTCCGTCCTCTAGATTGTTAAAAACTTTTTATGTGAGATATAATAATGCGTCCGCTGTACTAGAGTTCGGACGAAAACCGAATTGTGTCGGAGAGAAAAATTTATGTTTATTTAAATAAGAATAAAGCTGGTCATAAATAAATCTTTCTAAAATTTTACTTATGATTGACAATAGAGATACTGAACGATATTTGTCGACAACAGCTTTTGGTCCTTTCTTATGTATTAGTACTACGTCAGCAAACTTCCACTTGGAAGGATGAACACCTTGCTGAATAGAAAGAGTAAATAAGTGATGAATGACGTCAAGAAACTCTAACACACATTGCTTAAGAAAATGCACTGTTATTCTATCTGGTCCTGCTGCAATATTGTCTCTTAAACTGTTGATTGCTTCAAAAATTTGCTCTTTAGTAGGTGGAATAAGAACAAAAGTATCGTTAATGACTATTTTTGGTTTCGCAGAAGGCTCAGCTTTTGGCACAAAACATTTTCCAAAAAATTCGTTAAATGAATTAGCTTTTGAAGTGTCACAACTAGCTTTTTTATTATCAAAAAGTACTGTAGCTGGTAGATCTGTGCTACCATCCTTAGCGTTGTTGATACCTTTCCAAATATTTTGTGACGATGTGAATTTATCAGCTAACTTTGAGAAATGTTTATTTTTACTAAGCCTTAATTCTCTTAATGCCTTATTTCTAACAGAGTGAAGTTTAGCTGTAGAAAGAGAAGATGGTTTCGTTTTTATCTGTGAAAAAAGTTTGTCTCTATGACGACGTGCTACATAATAATTTTTACTTGGTCTAAAAAATAACTTTGATTTTGATTCAAGAATTTTGAGGGGTACATGATTTTCAATACCCTTTTCAACAAGTACCTCAAAATCACTTAACAAGCTATTAACGTCGTCGATAAAAAGTAAAGAATTCATTGAGGAAAAACTACCTCTTAAACTACCCCAATCACTTCGTTTAAAATCTCTAACTTTTCGTACACCAGATAAAGGCGCAACAGAAATAGAGGGAAATTTACAAAGTAGAGTACTGTGGTACGAATTTCCTAAAGCATCAAAGATAGAGACAGACGGTGGTAACCACGAAGAAGAATAGTAAACATTGTCCAAACAGGTACCACCTCTAGTTGTAGAACTAACAGTTGAAGGAACTAAAGAAAATAAGGAAACAGTTTCACACAAAGAACGAAATAACACTGGTTCAGATTTTTCATCTGACGTGAGTTAAAATCGCCGGCAAAAATTAGTTTTGATTTTGCACCACTTAAGTATTTCAATAGAAAATCCGAAACCTTATCATAGTAGTCTTTCTCGGCGGTGGGCTTACGATAACAACAACACAAAAATACTAGTGTAGACTGAATAGTAGAAGAATGTAGAAGACATTCAACTTCAGCAGAGTATGGTACAAAAGAAAACAACATTGTATCTGATATGTATACGGCTAGTCCTCCTCTAGGATTCGTACTATCTGTTTTCTCTCGATCCTTACGACATAAGCTGTATCCAACTATGCTCACTTCCTTATCTTCAACCACATCTGTCAAAAACGTTTCCTGTAAAAGAACAACATGAGGACTATGCTCAGTAACAAAGGCCCTTAAAGCATCCACAACATCAGAACAACACGCACAAAACATCAGAACAAGCTCAAAATCTCAGGATACGATTAATGTTCTCCGTTAAACGTGATTATAAGATCGAATAAATCGAAAAGCCCTTATTTAATAGATTTTTCAAAAACCCATTTGGAAAACCTGAGGGTTCTCTAAAATTTGTTTCGAGATCTCCTATGAATGCGATATAGAACAGCTTAAATACTCTATATTCCGAAGTTTTGAGCTTGTTCTGATGTTTTGTGCGTGAATAGTGAATTTTTGAATACTAGGTGAAAATAGCCTGGAAACCCTAATTTCGTAAAACCGGCTTTTCGGTAGATTTTTAGAACTTTTTCTAAAAATAAATATTTCCGCAAAACTCAGCATGATCGATTACCCAAAGTCCATCAGTCTTTAAGGCTACCAATAGTCACCGGGCGGCAGTCCTGGGACTCGTAAGAAATCCGATACAGCGCTCGAACCAAGGAAAACCAAGATCTCACTTTACCCTTGATTTTGTAGAGGACATCCCAAGCTATCAGCCCATGAGAAAAAAGCAATATAATCCTATTGGAGAATCTTTACAGACGGCCTAGTTTTCCAAAGATCTCCTAGAAAACCTGTTTCGGAAAACTGTTCTGAAAATACTGTTGGTTATGAAAACATGGCTCCAAGTCTCGTCTTTCGAATGGGGGAAAGCGCAGGTCTTTATCTTACTCCTATCAAAAGTTATTCGCAATCAAAGTCGTTCAGTGACTTATGGGACACCCTGTAGGTTTTCACTGGGTTGTTGCATTTTGTTCTGAAAACTAACATTGCCACGAGATTCAGCATAGTCGATAACCTATGTT